GTAAGATTCCAGAGCTAACCAAATTTGTTTTCCATACGGATTTGCATGTTATAAAAGAACATTAAAGTTGAACGAACAGCGGTGCTTAAAACAATAAAACAGTGAGACAAAAAATCGATAAGATGTTGAAAACAGAAAAGGACCCGTAACAAAAACTTCAGCAAGTTGCGGATATTAAGTGAAACCATATTTGTGTGTACATATATACATGCCTAAGGGAGTAGGTAGTACTGAGTATTATTATATTTTATGCGACTCACAGAAGGAATAATATGCAACACCTTTATGTAAACTTAGCCCCCAAGAAGTTATTACCTTTTCTTTTGCCATCTATCCATCCATCCATACGAGCTCGTTCTGCGATCAACGACTCACAGCATCTACAGCTACATAAAGATATGGGCTTGGAACTTCTCTCTTCTTTACTCTACTTTACTTTTCTCTTTTTTGGAACTTGTATGCTCAGATCAAAAATTCGTACACAGTGTTTGTTTGTTTATTGTTGTTATATCATGTTGGTAGTTTATTTAATTGTCATTTACAATAGTTTGGAGACCGAACGATTTGCTTTTCCAAGTATTCATAAGCTTATAAAGTTTAATTTCGGCTTAATGTTATCATGGTTAATTTTATTGGCAGACAGTCGATTATAGAATCGCCTAATACAAATCTTTTCCATTGAACAAAGGCAATCATAAAATTCATTCTAATTGTTTTGAGAGTGATTTTTTTTTCGTTTTGTTTCAATAATCTTCATTGATGTTTGTTTTAAGGTATTCAAAGTGTTTTTTTTCCTTGTGTTGTTGTTGCAATTCTTAACAATATTGTTGTTGTTTTTTTCTTTGTTTTCACTGTTATTCCACTAGTTGTTGTTTTTTTTTTGCCATCGGGTACACAGACTAATGTCGACAAACAACATAATTTTACGTATATGTTTGTATGTATGTATGTTTAGTTATGTAGTATATATGTGGGTATGTAAGCTTTTAATGTTTAAACGTAAAAACGAGTGATTGCATATGTATACAAATGTGTCTATACGCTCATACAACGCTTAACGGTCTAATTGTTCCAACAGCAACTAGACTTGAAGACTTTCAGCGAATCAATAAATGTGATTTGGATTGGTATTAAACTAAGCAACAAATAAAAAATAATAAAATAATAATAAAAATACAAAATAATTCCAGCTACTACGATATATAAAGAAAGGGAATGTGGGTAGCCGAGTCATATACCCTTTTAGATCGGTTCATCCAATGTCCAAATTCGATGATTCGACTTATAATGCCTGCAGTAAAACTATCTACAGAAAGATCTGAGCCAAATTAAGTGTAAAAAATAATAATAAATAACTAAACTAAAGCTTCAATACGAGACTCCATGTGTTCATAGGATGTGTATTTCGATTTGACTAGAATAATAAACATCTACGAATTTGCAGTTAAGCCAGGTATGAGTGTATGAACGAGAGTATACAGACACACTGAAGTGCATATATATGTATGTATGTATATCTGTTTATATTATGTTTGTATGTGTTGTTTATATGCCAGTATAAAAATTAACTTTTTCATGCTTGTTTGTTTGTTTGTTCGTAGCTTAATCCACATCGTGTTTTGTTTTGTTTTTTTGCAGAATAAGAAGTTAATAATATGTTGGTATTATATGCATGTATACAACTGCATTTAGATAACATGTTTTTGGAGGGGGGTAAATGAGAAATTATCACTGATCATCTATGTGTGTATATTTTACCATTGTTTTCACTTTCTCATATCGGCACTAAGTTTCTCGCAGTTTTTCATAGATTTCTTTCTTATTGATTATAGTCATTTAACATACTAATTTAAAATCATATAAATACATAATATTTATTTTGGTTTTGACTTTTGATGTATTCTTTTTTTTTTGTTTTGATGAAATAATAATACGTTTGAAACATCCATACCTTCGCAGAGGGATCAAATGGGTTTAAGCCCAATTTGCAAATCGGTTTATGTTTCCTTCAAATATCAAAGATTATTAGATTCACATTTTCATGATCGTATTGAATTTAAATGGGGGAAGAGACAGTTTAGTGACGTTTTTTGTATCCCCTGGCATTTTGCATTTATCGCAGTGGTGCTGCTGCTGCCTCACTCAATGTCGATAGTAAATGATTTTATTGAGATCTGAAAGGGTTCGATATTCTCTTTTGAGCAACTCTTCTTTTCCTTTTTTTATTTTTTTTTTTTTTTTGTTAGATGCTATTTACTATATATGCTATAGTGCTGCTATTTCATCAAATTTGCTTAGATGGGTGGGGCGGGGAGGTAGGGGCAGAACTTTTTCAAAATCTATGGGTCATTAATTTGATGGTAAATATTCTAGCAGTGACGGGTGTTTCTGATAAGAACTATTTTTCGATTAACCTGCTTCGACTAATTGTAAATAAGAATGAAATTCCATAGAAGAAAAAAGAGAAAGGAAAAACTTTAAATACTATGAACCAAAGGAAATGTGTCTCTTCGCGATCACAAAAAAAAAAAACCCGAATTTTATCTCACTGGAGGGGATTCACTGCATACACGATTAGAATTAACCAAATAGAATAAGGCTCAACTATTAGTTGATAAGATAAATATATCTATTAAATATTGAACAATAATAAGCTTATTTCCTTAATTATATCTGTCTTTTAACTAACATAACCACTTGAGCTTCTGTATTTATTATCGAATATTTCTATATTCTAGTCAAAGGATCAAGTGTTGAACAGAGTTTGGTTTTGGTCTTGTTACCAACTACAGCAAGATTGAAGTTCATCTAGAGTTTATATTGTTTTAGCTCCGTGTGTAGTGGTGCCTATGTTTTTGGATTTTGGATTGCAATTTTGTGTCGAATTTCAAATTTTAAAATGATATTTCAGAAACCCGAGTTATATATGTACCTACTCTTTACTCTTTTTACTATGAATAAGTAAGTATTTTGTAAAAATTCTTATTTGAAAATCTAATGTAGACAAGCATTGTTATTAAATTGTTTTTTTTATATATATAGTATATTATTTTAAAAAATTTTGTGTTTTGTTTTGTCGTCTAAAGATTTTTCCTGATTATATTAGCTGTTTGCTGCTGTTTTCGTTTTATAACATAGAATATTTAAGAATGGATAAAATGCAGCTATGCTGGAAGTACTAGTAAAATTTAGTATCACAGTATTTTATATAAGATCAACTTTTGTTTTATAAGGTTTATCCATTATATTCTGTATTTTATGCAAATATTACTTATTTAATATATATGTATGTATGTCGCCCCACATAGGTATATGTGTATATATACTATATATATATATATATATATGTATATATAAATATATAAACAAGTAATGCAGAAAATCGAACGGAGCGTTTTGCATTCGCGGTTACCAAAAAGCTACAAAACAAACTATGTAAACCTATCGGAAAATACTCCCAGATTATACATGAATCGAATCCCTTTGAAGTACATAAAGTACCAACAAAAATGTATATATGTGTGTATGTATTTTGGTAACATGGAAATACTCACATAATATAAGGCAAGTCAAGGAAACACAAATTATTAATATATATATTCGCATATACACATTTCCTTTAATTACTCATTACTCATACTAATTCATACTATTCGTACATGCAAGAGAGTTGTTTTTAAAAAATTGTTTTGTGGAGAATAAATTGAAGAGGAAAGCCGAGTGGGGATTTTACTGTGTTGCGTTACTGTGGTATTCAGTGTATATGTTGTATGTGTCCTGCTCTAACCATCATGTGATACTCTTCTGTTTTGTGTATAGTGTAGTTGTATTTGTTAAGCAATAATTTGTTGTTCAAGCCTACTGGAGGATAGGATATCTATGTATTTTGGGCACGGCCATTTACCATTTAAGATTATTTCAAGCTATTTGTAGTTTAAAAATACGTGTGTAAATTACGTTATTGAATGTCAATTGCGCCTATTGAAATTCCTGAAGTACATTTTCACAATGCACTCTCATACTATATGTATGTCTCTCTATATACGGTATGGCTATATATGGTATGGTTATGCACATGCACATGCACATAGCAATGTCATCAGACTGCAAATTTTCAAACTGTGTGTTTACGAATTTGTTCAGCAATAAGTATCTCAGTAATATGTAGTTTCAGGGCCCATAAACGAAACCCTCTGAGAAATATCATCAGCAACTACTGATTGGAAGATTGGAAGTAGAAATATATAGCTTACAAATTGTAATTATTGAATTTCTAGAGACGCATTAGTGTGAGTCTACAATTACTGGAAGTTTTTTATTTGGAAGCAGTGATGCTCAAAAAAAAACAACAAAAAATCACAAGTTGTGGTAAGCAGTTGCATTGCATTTGCATCCCTTACATTGGGTAAATAAAGTGTCCCCATGGTTGAAAACAATGAGATTAATAGCTTTATGCTTACTATACAATAATACAGAAAGAAGTGTCTTTTAAATATATTTTTTTGTAAAACTGTTAACCAATCATCTATTCCATTACTTTCTTAATTCATATTCATAAGATAAGTATTTCAAACTATTTTTTTTTAACTATAAAAAAATCTACACAAACTTTGAATAAACTTTAAATAAACTTGGGATAAATTGTTTGTTCGTCGTTGAAATTCTATTATTGTTTTTGTTTGTTTAACCCAAAATGTATTATGTTTTCCATTTGCAAAAATTGATGAAAGTTTAGTTAGTGGATGATCGATCTGAAGTAAGATACGTGGAAATGAGGCTTCTGTTTCTCCCTAAAGGCTACTGAAGGTTTTATTATTAATTAATTTCATTAATTGTATTCGTTTATGTCGTTGTAACATTACTTTACAACATACATTACCCATTTATACTTAATCATAAACAGATTCATTTCTAGATCCATGTATAGTTTATTGTTATTTTCGCGTTGTTTCTTTGTTTGTTTGTAACAATATGTTTTTTCTCCATATTTCCATTTAAAATATGAATAAAAAAAAAAATTGATATATATTAAAATAATAATTTAACTGCTTCAAATTTCATATTTTAACAGTGTGTTGTTTGTATAGCCGAGAAGCTTTTATGTGAGTGGGGGAGGGAGGGTTGCATAGAATGCAACGAGAGAGAGAGGTTCAAATTGTTGGTGAGAAAAAGTGTATGTGGGTGTGTGTTGATTATAAAAGGAATTGATTTAAAAAAAACGCCATAATACTCCTTTACTCAGTTCCAGCATAAAGACTACATTCTATTCTATAAATATTCTAGAGCCGTCGTTAGGGTCCGTTATCATATTTCGAGCATTAGCATTCTCGTGCTTGCCGTTACTTATTTTGGGACACATTGTTGGCAGGTCTCTTCATTTTCATTTGCTATCTCATCAAGATGAAATTTGTTTCGCTGTTTTTGCACAAAACTTGTATCCTTATTACAATTTGTCTTTAAAGCTATTTGATCTAATTCTATTAATTGCTTGCCGTTGCTTTTGTCTTTTTTTAACATATATAGTATCGCTGAATGCAGTCATTCGGTAAAAACGAACTCATCTTGTTCTATGGGTTTCTTTAGCCAGCTGCCAAGATCCTCCCGCTTGAAGGCGCTAAACAATTCTAGTTTAGCCGTCTGCAAAAAAAAAAAAAAAGATGATGTTTATATATTTATACAAAAAAAATTCATATCCTATCCAATCGATGCGTACCTGATAATCCTTGACGTTGGCTTTTGTCTGGCCGTAGTCGTGGTTACACTGCGGTTCAAAATACCTGGTAAGTTTTTCATTAAAAATCCATATTTATCAAAAAACGCCTGCTTGGTGATTCGCGATACTTGACCACCAATTGTTCGGCCAGTCAGCGAATTGACCACCTCCAATTCACCATCTCCGATGGTCCAATTGATACCAAAATTTGGTGCCTTGGCCTGATTGCGCGGCTCAGCCGACGTGACCAATGCCAGTCGTGGCTTATTTAAATGGTATGGCGGCGGCAAGCCCTGGATAGACTTTTCTATTCGTCCACACACCGCACGATACATATGCTCGGGATGCAGCAGACTCCCCAATACAATGGAATGCAGGTACACTGGTTCAATTATGGAAGACAATAAGGAACCTTGTATACCCACAATGTTCCAACGTGCAATTTTATCCGAGCATGACATTGTAAGCAATCGTTGACCCTGTATATTATATGGCAATGGATGTTATGTTATTTTGAAATACACTCAACACAATATATATGTAGATAGTTGTGCTCACCTGTAGTACACCATCCCAGGTTTGTATGCCATCGCTACTTTTAACGGGTATTGTACCTTCGCCAGACTCGATTTTCGTACGCAATTGACCACGAGCTTTTCTGTTTTTTGGTTTGGTTTGGTTTTGTTTAGATTCAAGGATGATATCAAGGACGTTACGTTGCAATGATTTAAGCCACATAAACACAGGTGAACAAATGGCAGCATAGTAAAATGTAAAAATTGACACGAAAAATATAAATAAAATACAATTTTTTTTTTTTGTTTAAGCGTATTTCAAAACATGGCAACATTATACTGCGAACAAAATATGGTCTGAGGTTATTGAGTTATTTGTTATTATTTGTTTTTTGGGTTTATCGTACAATGTGGCTGGGCATGATGGACATTTCTGTTTACAGATCTCCAAACAAAAATAATAAAGGATGGCATAGGTTTATTAAAGTATCCGCTGTAGCTAGAGTAGTTAAGTTACAACTGACATTAAAATTATGAAAAAAAAAAAAAACGAAATAACAACAAAGAAAGTCTGAATACTAATGCCACCACAGACAGACAGCATAAAAAGCCGACAGGAAAATATATATTTTATAGTGTTCAGTATCTTAGCTGATAAATGTTAAATATGTATTATATTTTTCATTTGATTTTGGATGATCTCGGACCAATGTTTGTACACAGTAGAATAGTACAAAGGAAATACCCTAAATAGTACCTACATATTAAAAAATTGGGTCTATACAATCATGCTTCTGTTCAGATTGGCAATATATTCCATACACATGTATTGTATATAGTTGTATAAAGTTTGTATATGTATATAGAGTCGAACTTTTCTGACGGAAACCAACCTACAACAAAGATTCAACTTATAAAGACACTAAGCTAAATATTTGTATACATATTTACTTATTATTTACTGCATTCCTTGTACAGATTACACTGAGACTTGAACTTCAATTTGGTTTGGTTTTGCTTTTGGGTTGGGTTTATCTTAGAAAAGCTCGACTGTATATATGCATACAAATGTAGAGTTATCGTTCCGTTTTAACTGTATTTTTTTCAGTCAATTTTAGCCAACAAATAATGATTAAGTTATTCATAACATACATACATTAATTATTTTGGTTCTACTTTCTCTTTCAATTTGTTTTTAGTATACTTTTAACATGTCAATTTTTTGTTTTTTTTTTTTTTTTTTGCTATTATGCATTATTGTGCATAATCCATAATGCATAAGATATGATAACAGTAGCAAGAGTATTTAGAAAGATCTTTTGTACCAACCTATTTGGATGTTTATCAACACCTGTGTCGTTTTCGTGAGGACTAAATATCCGTGCATCCCCACAAGGTGCTGTATTTATATACAAATGGAAATGTACCCCGGATTTTAGTTTATAAGGGTATTGCCCATCAGTATTCCTCACGAAAATCGACTGATATGCTGTGGCTAAAATTAAGAGAAAATTGAATAAGAGTTGAATAATTAAATATAAATAAAAGTAAAAACGATTTTAGATTTGTAAAAGTTCCTAAGGGAATATCATCATTTCCCCTATTTTCAGCAAATACAAAAATGGATAGCATATTGTTATTACTATTGTAATAGATATACACTGAAGTATCGGAATAATCATGTTATTTTGTACCAATACACAAGTGTATATGCATGAAATTATATTCTATATGGAAATAATGTCACACAAATATATATATATTTTTTAATACTTCTAAAATCCTTAAGTACCTCCTAAAACTAATCAAAAAAAAATATCACAAGATCCATGGACAAAATAGACGTATCTTAATACCCTATACACACATATATTTATGTATATATTCTTTGAATAACTTTCCTATTAGAAAATCCCCCAAGTGGTTTTTGAACAGGGGGAGGGGAGGATCCTGCTGCTGCGTTTGTTTTATCCGAATATCCGAATGTGTATCACCAAAACGGGGGTACTGAAGCATAAAACAAAATGATATCGCAGAAACTGAACAATAACAAAATCAGAAATGGATTTTTTGTTTTTGATTTTTTTTTTTTCAATTTGCTTAACAATTTGTATGCAAATGCGAATAGAAATTGTTAGGTGCCAGCCATAAATATTTGAGCGTGAAGTACTTTGTTGAAACAAAAGAAAGTTCCAAATTTGTTTGAGGGGTAAATATATACACATACGTAAGTTATTCATGGGATAACTTATTCTATGTCAAATCGAAGTATTTTTGTTGTACAAATTTCGTCCCTTTCTAAAACATGTCCACTCGCAAAGCCGGCTAAGAGTCGTGAAGGGGCTACAGAATGAATGTAGGACTCAGCTATGCATCCGCTATTTGAAATTGAGCCAGCAAACTTCATTGACTGGTTTGGCTATACATTTTGAGTGATACATATGCATAACGTACATACTTAAAAAAACATTTTCAAGCTTAAGTTCTATTGTTAGGTAGGTACTCATTAGTGAGTGAGCGAAATTCCCTGATACTGATATATACAATTAAATAATTATACCCTGATTGCACTGAAGATCCAGCTGTGCGTACAAGAACTTTAGTAGACAACGCCTAGATACTATTTCAGCATGAGAATCGTTTAGAACGGCACCATTGACGCTCATATGCTCGCCGCTGACACATTTTGTGCCTGTTGAAACGGATATTACCTGATTTGGAATAGAATAGAATTATTGTTTAATATGTTTGATCATGTAAATAATGTTGTATCAAATTAGCTTTCGACTTACTTTGGCTTCAAAAAAATTCATGTTCTCAGTCATAACAATGCCCGCCAATACCTTTCGACGAGAGTATGCCTCCTGGCCCTTAATAACCTCCATAAACTTTTCCAATACCAGTCTGCCAATCGCATCTGCATGTATCTGCGGCAACTCCATGGACGAGGACTTATCATCAATTGGAAGCGGCACATTCTTTTGTGGCACCACCATCGGGCTGTAAGAGATGTTGCACAATGAGGCGAGCGCTGCCTTGGCCGCGGCATTCTTGGCCAACTTTTTCGATGGACCTACAAAAGAAATCCATGCATTAGAGAGTTTTTTTTCATAGAGATGTGTAAATGTAATTTTCAACATACCGGTGCCATCGAATTTCTTTTCGTTAATGGTTACGGTCATTTTGAAGCGACAGTTGTTTTGGGCACTGTCAATATTAATGCATTCAAAATTAACGTCATTGAACAGTTCATAGAGCAGCATGACGGGACCCTTATCCGGCACCTTCTTTTGCCCATCGACGGTAATGGCGCTCTTACTGACATCTGTGCAATATGAAATGGCAGTTAGTAGAAATATTTGATTGTTTTGTCCCAGTATAGAAAATAAACCCTAACTTAGCCATCTATGCTTATTACACACGCGTTTACACAGTGGTGTCTCCAACCATACACAAAAAAACAAAAAACATATGCGGGGAAAAAAAACTAATACACATTAAATTGAACAAAAGGAAATAATGAAATTAAATGCACTCATCATCTGACAAATATGTAACAGAAGTGTTGTTCTTATATGCCGGTACTCAGGGCAATAACAGCCAGGAATAATCCCTTAAAAAAATGTGTATATTCTTGATCAGAGACTCCACCAGAGCAACCGAATTTTGTGTGCAGACTGTGTGTGGATCCACAATTTTGGGAATGCAAAAAAATGCATGATCTCATGTCTACTTGAAATTGCAGAAATACGTTTAAATCGGATCATTAATATAGCACGACAAAATGCAGAAAAAAAAACGTTCCCCTGCTACTCGACGCGCTCTTTCTCTTCCAGTGGCGCCGTGGCGTTGGTTCGTACAGCAAGAATATTGAAAGAATCTATATATATATATATATATATTATTACATAAATCATAAAATTACATACATATATACTGATTGAGTACCGGTTATTGTAGTGTCCCGTTTGGATTCGTTTCATATATGCACATAGGGTAAGTGTTAGGATTTTATAACATATACATATGTATGTACATATGTATGTATTTTCTCATAATAATATTAATACATATAAATGAGTACAAAAGTGTAGATGGAGTGCACAGAAAAACAAAATGGGTACAGCAAGAATTCCTACATAGAGTATAGAGTACATTGAAGCGGACCAGTTTTTCATAGTTTTATGTATTAGTCGCTTCAGCAACTGCTCTAATCTGTATTTTTTTTTAATGGATAACATACAAACAACTAAACAAAAAATAGCAAATGTCAAATGTCAAATATTTGTGCATACATAAAATGTATACATACTTTTGAATTTATCTGGATCTGTGTGTGTACAGACAGGTCCAGCCACAATAACAAAATAATAACAAACCAATATGAAATAAAGAAAAAAAATGAAGGAAAAAAGAAACGAAAAAGGTTACAAGAAGAACGAAAAAAAAACTGAATTTTACTAATACTTGCTCTGACTCATGCAAAACGTTTGAAGACGCAACGTGGATTGTTCAAGCGAGGTAAGGTTGGGTTTCTTTTCGGTCAACATCAATATCATCTTCTGTATGTATTCGACCAATTTATCATTGGCAACATTTTCAATACCATTTTCAAGATGCTCATCGCTGGTAAAGTCCAAATTGCCGGATGGCTTCAATGGCGATAATACGGCACCGTCCTTAAACTGAATAAAGCTTCGAAGTGCTGTGGCTGCTGCTTCGATACGCGCTACTTTTTTACTGCGTCCCTGGCCCATATATTTCTGACCATCGACCTGTTAATATATATATATAAAAAACAAACGAATATAGACAGACAAAAAATATTTATTGGGTATACATAATATGTAGATTTGTATTATGGTTGCTCTATTTTATTTGCGATTCGCCTAAGTAAAAACAACATTATTTACGGGTGCATACCATACGTTTACGACCATTACAAATATCATTTGCATTTGCCGACGACCGTCTTAACGTTTATTTATCATGCACTTTTTTTATGGCTCTCTGGCTGTGACCTTTTACTCCCCCAATGTCTGTATAGATTTCTTATTGAACCACAAATCGCGTGAAATGATACACACACACAGGAAATTGTACCGCCCATTCCAGCGTATGTGGAAGTCGATCGAGTATGGGATAAATGTTTTTTTTTTTTCGTTATTTTGTGGAATACAAATGTAATACTTATACTTTGGCATAGCAATAAATGGGTATGTTTTTTGTTGTATTGGTCGAGTAAACAACAAGTAAATACAACAATCGATTGTAAATTATATTGTCATTGTACACTCGCAGAAAAAGCACTGAGAATCGAAGTTACCATACGGAAAACCAATGGCTCTTTGAACATCTGACTTTCGAGCACTATTATTAGTTTGACTGTACACACATATGTATGTGTATATCTGTAAACGTTTATCTATATCTATGTATATCTTACCTCGACGGATATCGTAAATAAAGGTGCGTGCACCGGACCAGTCTGTGACTCCAATTTGTAAATCAGTCCATTTCTTAACTCATTTAGCATTGCCACTGTATTCTTCGGCTGTGGTATCCGCTCCTTGCATGTTTTCTTCTTTGGTGGTACTGTATGACAAAACGATAAAGGATTTAGCATACATTTTTTAATATTATTATATTATATGTATATTATTATATTATGGACCTACCAGCATATTTTGGCATTTCATACCGCCGTTTTTGCGGCGCCTTTCGGTTATAGCCATTCATGGTGTTTTCGGAAGAGTTAGCCACCGGCTGTGGACAAGTCAGTCAGAAACATCAGAATTGAAATACAAAATGACATTAAATATTTTACTAAATAGTTGCAATTGTTTTTTTCATCGAATTTGGTTAGAATTTAAGTTAAGTACAACAATTAAACATTCAAATATCCTTTAAAGACAGACAAATCGTATTGTATGTGTGCTTTTCTGCGATTCCATAAATCGAACAATTATTTAATGGAAAATAACCTTGTCCCATTTACTGGAAGTATTCAAATAAAAATTGCCATTGCAATGTTTACTTGTATTTTGTCAGACCGTCACAAAACGCACACAAAGTTTTAAGGTTATTTTGGTTAAAGGATTAATGGAATGTAACAAACATACACACACACATCAACTTATGGTTTAGTCAAATGATTACGCACAACAACATCAATATTATATATTAATAGACAGTTAGAACAGAGTTAGGACGACATGTAAATACATATGTTATGTTATATGTTATATAGGAGCGCCACAAAAATGTTTTGTAAATTTATAGCCATTTCTAAATCTGGCTGAATCTGAATCTGAAGAATTTACTCAAGTAATTTACATTTTGATTCCTCCAACACCCCCGTCCCCTGTAAGTGATTGATTTTTTTTTTTTTTAATTTGATAGTTGATGGATGGATGGACGTAACGACCCTATTAACCCCATTGCTGGCATGTAGATGTCCATCAAAGGGTGACCAGACCCGACCCGACCCGACTCGACCCCTTTTAGGACTCCACGTTTCCTTTGCTTTCAATCACAAAACTTTGACTTACACCGTAGGGATAAAGTGGCAGCATTGTACGCCGCTTAAAGAGCACACGCGAGTACTTTTTGCCTGTAAAACAGGACGATGCCGATGAAGAATAAAACTGCTGTCGCTGATACAATATCGATGAAGATCTGGCCAAACGCACGGCATGATGACACGACTTATAGCACGCGGCACGCTCTGGCTTATAATACGCTGGATACATTATAGTTTTCTCCTAGGTAACGACGAAACTTCTAACAAAATGCGAAGCGACACGAGAGAGACTAGACACAAGCAGGGCACGAAAAACTAAGCGACTGACGATTTCCGAGTTGCCCAGCTAAGCACTGACATTTAACTGACAACGACAAAAGCAAACCGCAGCTAATTTTATAGAAGCAAAAGAAATTATTAAAAAAAAAAAAAAAATTACAAACATGTACATACATTTGTACATACATATGTATATACATATGTTCACAAGTAGACACATGGTTTGTACGAATAAAGATAATTTGCGCGGCTGGCTAGCTTTTCATTTTCCGAGAAGATAGATATTTGCATACCCTATAGAGCAGCGGGGTAATAGCAGCTACTGCTATATGAAAGTCCTTTTATTTTTTTCATTCTTACATTTCGGAACGAAGTACCTGACAACAAAATACACCGTAGTTTATAATATTACAGATAATATTCATATAACCTGTACATTACGTACATTAAGAACCCAAGCTAGATAATTCCTGACATCAAATTAAATTAAAATTAAATTAAATTAATGCATATAACATTTTTGAAGGTACTTTAAAAAGCGTATGCCATGTTCGTTGGAATGAAAATTAACCTTGCTTTTACGCTATTTCTCTCTCTTTCTGATATAAGTACAACCGTACCGTACCGCCTGTCGGCAAAATCTGATCTTTTGGTGTTGATAAAAACTTTGCAGAGTGCACCGCAACACACACGTTTCGATTCGAATTTCTTTTTAATGAAGTCCCAAACGTCAGGAACAGAACGGGGGGAGGCCCTAAGAGGCCCAGGCCCAGCCCCAGCCCCAGTCCCAGGCAGCAGGCATCAGGCAGCAGCAAAATTTGGATGCCGTTGGAGCGGTTATTGCAGCAGCAGCTGCGCGCAAGAACTCAGAAATGCATGAGTTGCATTTGCGTATCAAAATTTGCAGTAATCAACGGGCAAAGTGCTGGCAAATAAATAAATGTGTACGTACATATATTAACACCATCCATTAGTACTGGAAATACACTTTCAAATCTGCCCAAATGCTATATGTACTATTTATTTTGGTTGGGAGTTTAGAGAAATTGTGCGGCCTACTTCTGGTGATGTTTATTATAGGGGGATATCAAGTAACTAAATATATAAATATATGGACGATAAAACATACCAATTTTTGAGGGCTTTTAAAAAAGGGAGAGTCCTAGTAGTCCCGACTTTTCCAAATATTTTTTATTTCTACATGATTTAAGCATGCAGCAGAAAAAGGTAAGGGAACAGCAAGGTCAGAAGTCATGCACAGTCCAGGTAAGAGGTAAAAAGGGAAACAAATTTAAGAGGATACAAAAATAATAACATTTAAGATGCACATAGGTGCAACAGCAACGTTAGAATGCAAGAATCTGTGCAAACTATGCTAGTTCTCTTGATAAATTGAAGAACAATTGAACAAAAAATAAAAAGAAACAAAAGGCATAAGCTATAAGCCATAAGCCTTGAGGGTCCCACTAAAAAAAATACCATTTCAAATTCAAATTGCAGCAGCAGCAGCATATTTATATAACAATGAATGCTACAAGCTGCACCTGTGCGTCGCGTCGTGTGTCTAAATTGTCGGATGGGACGTGTGAGTGCAAAAGTGCAGCCGCAGAATGATAAAAATCTAATAATTAGAATCAAATAAGTTGAAACATTTATTGTAAACTAAAGTTTCCCAAAGCATAACAAGAAAGTGAAGACGAATCGACCTTATAAATCAGTTTAACATTTGATGACCTTTTTCCGACCAACTGAATTTGATTATCTACTAAATTAGAATGATTTTAATAGGTAATAATAAACATTTAAAGGACCAACTGTTTTGGCTGATATCACCGGTCTTATAGAATCGAAAAATGCTTATTTGATGTGTTTAAAAACTTTGCTATCGTGGGTGTAACAGTCTGAGTTGGAATGCCGCCCGCCCATACATTGTAAGTTGCATTGCTTCTGTTTGCGCTATTGCTTTTTTACTATAAATAATTAAATGTGCATTTAAACAAATGACTACATCATATTTTACTGTGAGAAAAAAAAAACCCCCTAAGAATTAAGAATTTCATCTCTTTCGTCGTGTGGGAAAGCACCAAAATAAAATTTTATATTGGTGTAGGGTATTAAGAAAGTCGAAAAAGAATACAATTGACAAGGCGAAGCATATAGCAAAGGTGAACACAGTCGACGGCAACGATAAATACAAGGACTATCATCATTTTTTCTGCTGAAGCCAATTCAAACACGGATTATTATCATTAGTTCCCAATAATAACATAATTATAATTCCTATAATTAAAGACAGGTATATTCCAAAATGATCTATTTACTAAATGATGTGTACAAAAATTACTAAATGTAATTTACCTTCTACACATTCACATAGTACTACTACACATTAACCATAAACCATAGACATACGCACATATGTACATAGCTCAAAGTTCACTTCACTCATTCAAATAATAAAATACAACATTTAACTATAGTTATAGATCATGCATTAACAAATACATGCACATACACGCAACAATAATAACAAATTCTGATAGATAAATAAATCATAAATAGTAAATGAATTTTGTTTTGTTTTGTTTTTGTCTACTTACATGCTGGAGAGAATTGTTATTTGCGCTGTTTAACATGACTTTTGGGTATTCGAATTTCACGGTACTTGAAATGTAAGTATCTTTGGTGTAAGTTGTTGTGCTCTTGTTTTTTTTGTTTTCTTTTTTTTGTTTTATGGTGATTATATACCCCGCCCGATACTCGACAGAGAGAGTACACAGGGGTAGTATATATTTTAATTTAAAAATATGACGATGTATGTACCAATGGTCAGGTCAGGTCATTAACACAATAATGTAGAAACACCAAATCAATATTCAATAAACTGCAAAAAAAAAAACGTTGAAAGAATCTCTAATATGTATTGAATACTTATGGAACACCTACTCAAACAAATACTCTTTCCCTCTCTCCACCACTTTAATTTGATAAAGCTGTAATTAGCCATTAACAGATTTGAGCAACATTAGTGAAACATTATATTACATTATCTTATGGTCCAAAATTGATTATAATATCAACTTACATATAATATAATAGTTAATGATCTACACAACCAGAACTCCCAAGTAATCCAACAATATATGTTGTATTTACATATTTATGTATGGTATTCTGTTGTTTGATCTATAATTTCTCTTATTTGTTAGTTTTTTAATGAGGAAACACAATAAACTACTCTTTACTGTTTGATTTCGGTTATAATAATACAAATAACAAAACTTTTTGAGTTATCCAAATGTTTTGAATTATTATTAACATTAATCAATGTAAATTGTAACGTATACACACGTATGTACATATGTATATATATGTATGTATATATGCCGTATATATTTCTATTGTATATTTTGTTGTTTCATTTAAGCATCGATTTTCAAACAACACCCCATTCCCATTGAGAGAATTGGAACCGCAATGCGGACGACCCGTGTCGAGCCGCTCGACGACGACCGCTCTCGCTCGGCAAAAAGCGCATTCTATTGTATTTTGGTTTTTTTTCTTTCTTTTTTGTTGTACTCTTTGCGTATTAGATAATTCTACCTTTCAATCAGACATGTACACATATGTTCATTTGTATGTATGTATTTGTTTGCACAATCTGGTGGAAAAACCGACTCGAAAAATTCAATTGACATATATGTATGTATGTATATTTTCTGGCCAAACATTATGCCCTAAATAGCTAATGGAATCATTTGACACATAACTATGTATGTAGGTACAATATGTACATATGTATGTATGTACTTGGTACGAAAAGATGAAGACAAACTTTTTGCAAAATGCAGAAACAGCAGCAGCCGCAAAGAAAATATTTACATAGGCGGCAGAAAACGGAACCTTCTTTTCCACCCTCCTCACCATCGTTTGGCCGTTTTGGACGTAATGTGGCCATTGGATTACGTCGCATGCGTTTTCCGTCATGCAGAAATATACAAACACACACGCACACACCACACCACACTATACGGTAACTACATACGTAATCGCAAGGGCCAAGAGAATGAATTGAATGCACCAAAGAGGCAAAATAGAGTGGCTGTGGTGGCTGCTCTCCACTCTGCGCTCTACCCTCTCTTCTTATGGTGACAAAAGGCATATCGTAGGCATCATCCAGTTACGCGATATACGGTACTGATTTTATGGTAGAACGGGACACCGTATGGATAAAACGCACACAAACAGACACAGCTACATAAATCCATACATGTATGTACATATGTATGTATGATGTATGCGCGTGCACGAAACACACACACAGTTGCGACTTTTCTGTGTTTTGTGTGTGCCGGGTACATATGTGCAATTACCCGACTCTGTCCATCTATGATTTGTTTGGTTTCAAGTTTTTCCACTCAACTCACAAAAAAATAATAGGAGGCCCCCCATTTGGAGCCCCAAGAGTTTTGTTAATTTAAGTTTTTCATTGCTTTACTTTGCTGATATATTTGCATACATATTCCTAATATATTAGCGCACACATACAGATTTACGTACGTATTCGTGTACACACATACAGATAGGTACTTTTGTGTTTTTTTTTTTTTTTGTGTTCCGATTATTTTGTTCTTGTTGCTACTGCATACCTTTCTGGCTTTGGAACGAGCTCTAATTATTGATTTTTACTTCGCTGTATTGGTAGTGTTTTGTTTTATATGTTAAATGAATATTATATTGTTGATTTTTCTTTTCGCGTTACAGTGAAATTCTCTGTTGTTTTACCAAGCAATTACTGTGATACAAAAGAAAAACGCGCACATACACTTCCGGGCCCTTGCCAATGCCTACGATTTGTCCCAATAAACAAATTTCTTGTACAGCTTTATGCTTTATGCATCTTTTTTTTTTTATATGCGTTAGCGGAAAATGGCCATCGAGTTTCACTTGGCTAAATTTTTAGTTATAGTCCCTAAGATAGAGGATAGATCATCGAGGGCACTATCGATAGTATCGATGTTTTGCTGCTATCCGCTACCATCGACGGTTTTGCGACTATCATGATAGTATCAAGCTACAGTTGTTGCGCTTTTGATATGTTTGGATTGGCTGCTCAAAAATACGAAGACAAATTTGTAAACAAATCGACAGGTGGCATCTAATTTTTACAATGGACAAGTTCCTAAAAGGTATCAATGGTTTTTTAATAATTATTTGGGCCCGATACTATTACGATAGTATCGATTGTTTTTTTTTTCAAAACATTCAAAACTATCGATGGCTTAACTATCAATTGTTTGACAGCTCTAGTTTCCGAAGGACAGACAGACCAACAAGATTTATCAATAAAATATACCGCCTGACCCACATAATTATACCCAAATATACCATGCCCATATCAAAATATACCGTAAATATACTGACGGACACGACGAGACGTTGATATTCCTCGATTTTGATATTCCGTTTAATATTACTAGCTAGTTGGCCCTCTCAGCCCTAAAAAAATAATTTTATCCAATTTCTCAATAAATTTTGTTCAGGATTGACTAATTTTCAGAACTCTTTTTCATTGGATTGTTTACATAATAAGGTTCATACAAAAACGGCCAAAGCATTAAACGTAAATGTTGACTAAATGTGACGTCATTGTTTCTGGTCAACCAAGTTTCTTCTATGCGAATGGACTTTTGTATACCATATTTCAGCGATGCCCAGGCCCATTGTCCTCCGAGCCCTTTTGTTTATGTAATTGCCATCAGCATAGGAAACCAATTCTTGTATGCATACACAGTTTGTGCTGTGTACCAGCATACCGAAAGCCCAACACATGCAAACATCTTTGTGTGTATGCGATCCGTCCAGCAAAAAAAGGTTTTGTCTCTTCTCTGATTGGTGTTAACCCGATTTTTGTTATGATTTTGTTGTTGTCTTTTCTTCGAGTTTGCACTGCACTATGGGGAAAATTCCCATTTTTCGGGTATTTAGTCATTTTCTCAAAGTATTAAAATTGATTGTTTTTTTTTTGGTAACATATTAAGAAAACTTCAAACTATAAAGTCCAATACCAAAAATATTATATAGCATAGCACTGTTAAGTCTAACAGCTGTTAAAGTCAGCTGTTGCTGCAATATTTTTGCAGCCTATTTTCAAAATGCCACTATTCAAACGCGAAACATTCTTTTTGTGAAATTTAAAAAGGATAGCAATCACACGGGTTTTAACTATGTAATGGTTGTACTAATACTTTGTAGTTGTGCGTGTTCTATTAATATTTTGTAAAAGTAGGAAACGTTCTCAAAGCACATTTCTTGGAAATATATTTCAAGTTCGTGGAGACATATAAAAATAGTATTAGGGTTGACAAGTGTACGTCTAATTGTATGTCGTAGAGCTAATAATTTTGATTTAAAGGCAGTTTGTCTAAATGCACACTTTTGCGCACTATCTGCGCAAATTAATTTTTTGCAGCGGACTTCGAGTTTTCAAACGCGCAGCTGTTTGATGCATGGCGCAAGGAAAATGGCAAATGCAATTCGATTCTGGAGCTTTTTAAGAAGAGATTTAATAAAAACCTTCATGTTTTAAAACATGTGCTATATTTAAAGAGTAAAAGTCAAATTGTGTGCCGAAACTTGAATGCCAAATGGAAAAAATGCATGCGAAACAAAACATATATTTTGAAAAAATCATTAAAATTGGTTAATGAGCACAACAAAATTATACAAAAGCGACTCAAATAAGAACAATAATCGACAAATTGGTCATCCAAAGTTGGCTTACTTGTTAAAGGGTTAGGAGCTAAAAAAACAAGCAGCAGCTGTATCAAAAACTCAAGAGCAATGTCTCTTTGTTGATTCAAGCAGCAAGCATAAAGGCCTTGCCCTTCCCATCAATTTTAAATCCTCTTATTATGTGAAATTGAAGGCCCATATAAAACTTTTGAGGATTTCGAAGATGAATTAAAAAAAAACTAAAAAAATTTCTATTAATATTAAATTATTGTTTCTTTAGCTCCTGAATTTCATCAAAATGAAGTTTTTCCAAAAGTAAAACTTTATTTTTATGTATAAAGGAGTATTATAGTCAATAAATATTAATAAAGATATTCCAATTTTTAATATTATTAAAAAAAATAATTTTTTTTTTTAATTTGTGGGCGGTAACATTCCTACTTTTTCCAATAATGTTTCTAAGGGTGTACATAACATTAATCAAAAAACCGCATCGAAAAATCTTGCTTAGTTTAAGAGTTATTAATTAATATCCGAAAAATTGGAATTTTCCCCATAGTGCAGTGGCGTCTGACCTCGGCGGCTGAGTCCTGCGACGCGAGGCAGAAAATTTCTCTTTGGCTGGCCAGCGGGTGGATGTGAAGCAGGTGCCGGATAGGGCGCAGCCGCAGCAGATCGGGCTGCTGCCATGGTCGGAGGATGGGAATTGCAAGGCAGTAGGCTAGTAGGCGAGTGCCCAATTGAAATAATAGTCAGACTTAAATTTGTTTAAAAAAGAGCTAAAAATTTGGTTTACGCTAAGTCAAATAAAAAAAAATAAAATAAAAACTACCGTACGTACAGGTCGAAAACGATCAGAGAAGAATTTCCGAGCCACGGAACGAAGGCTGATGTACTACATCCAATCCCTACGAATGACTCTTCGAATCAATGACAATAACATATTTTTTTTCTCAATATGCATTGTTAAGCAAGCTCAATTTCAAGCACTGCATGCGGAAACGAGTCCATACAGTTAGTCAAAAGAAGGCTCTTTTATTCTTATTGTAGTACGGAATTGCACTTTCCGTGCAAACTCACCTC